CAAGAGTAACCGAACTGCTATTCCCAACAGCTCCTTCATCTGATCTCACAGATGTTGATGTCCTCTGTTGTCCACGTGCATTGCCATGCGGTGTAGTGAGAACTTCATTGAGTTTGTCGATGAGAGTGTTGAGGAAGAACTGCCACCCAACTCCTTCACAGCCAAGATGCTTACGGAGGGGCCCACCACTATCTCGAATACGACGGGTACGTTGAAGGAGATAGCTGTAGTATTGTCGAACTCTATCATCGGCTCCTGTCAGGACCTGGTCTCGAAGATGTCGTAATTCCTGGAACCTGGATCTCATCCAATGAAGGGCGTTTCCAGGGAGCTTGCGCTGGCTCTGCTTTGTGGCCAGGCTTAGCCTGAGGGGCCTCTCCGTGACCTGAATGGGAGCCCCAGCACGTAGCAACTTGGGGTTGGGGTCGGCGTGTGTGACCTGCTAAAGCTCACACCATGTTTTTCCTACCCAGTCCTGATAAACCTCGTCCAGGAGAGCCTGACCTGCCTGCCTCTTGTCACCCAGAACATTGTTGGTGATCCCATCCTCCGTGTGGTCGGCAATGTACTGGTCAATCTTGACATTGAGGGTTTCATAGTCGGGCGGTGCCAGAGAGGGTCCAATGCCAGGGACGGTAGGAAAGGTGGCGTGACGCGCCCGTATTTGCACTACTATGTCCCGAGCTACTCTGCGAAGGTTAAACCCAACAGGTCGATGGGGTCCTGGAACAACTGGATTCTGGAGTTCAACTTGGGCATCACGAGCAACTGCCTCCAGAGGCCGGCTAATGAGGAAGAAGTCGATATTGGAGCTGCCTTGTCCACCATCAAAAATATATGACGGAACCGACGGATCAAACCTGAAACAGCATTCCAAGATATTCATCTGAAGTCCTTCCCGAACTTCAGTAGTGGTCATGTTCCAGTCCCCTCCTACGATGAAGGGAACCCCAGCTTCTAGTGCATGCTGTCCTAGAGTAAAGACTGATGACGCCTAGTTGTGCAGTGCGCAGAAAGCAATGTGCAATATGTCGAGTGATGACTGTAGCCCCTGACGGCCCAGACCACACATCTAAATAACTGCGTGCTGCTATGCATGTGCCACCTGTGTACTGCCCTTTGTCGGAGATGCTGGCCTGGCCCCAGGAACACTTCCACCCAGCCTCCGCCATTCGTCGACTGACATCCAACTGACGCTCTGCACCTAGTTTGTGCTCTTGGAAAAGAACAACCGAGGCCGATGTCTCATGGATGAATCCTTCTGCTGTTGCCCAGCAGTTACCATTGTACGAGACAATGCGCATGTCCCTGAGAAATTTAGTGCGACGTCGCCCCTGGCGCTGACGCTGGCCCTGGAGGTGGCGGGGACCAGGTGGCTCCACAGGGGTCTTCATCTGAGTCTGATATGTCATCAGCTGGGCGCTGAAAGTGGCATTCTCGCTTCGCTCTCTTGACTTGGAAGGCACGAAATGCGGTGAGCAAGGCGCGCTTCTCAACATTGACCCCTGCACTCCGAAAAGCCTCAAGCAAGTCCTCACCCTCAACGCCCTCCATGTCGGCTGGTCCTCCTGCTTCTCCCCCTCCTCCTTCTCCTGCTGCTGCTCTGTCACCACGGCATGCCCGTGACACTGGAACATCGGCGGCATCAACAGCGGGCGGGGGAGGTTCGACAAGCGGCTTGACCTCATCCAATTGGGCCTGCATGTGGCGGCGGGCCTCCTCATTCGGGATGTTGGGGACAAGGGCAGCCAGCGAGGCGAGAAGGTTGCGCACTGGCGTGAGGTCCTGAGCGGGTCCTGCGGTCCCCGTGCCCACCACCTGCGCTGCTTTGCGTGCCTCTTCCAAATCAAATTCAGCATTGTAGATCTGGGCCTCAATGGCATCGCACTTTTCTTGAAGGTCCTCAATTCGATCCAGAATGTCCTGTGCTCGTCCTGGAGTTTTTTGAGGCGGCCTTCCCGTTTTTTGATGTCCTGCTCGTGCTTCTGTAGCTGCTTGCTGGCTGGCTCCTGGGCTTTCTTATCTTGCTGATGGGAGGACCAGGCTGTCTCAAGAGCTTGCACGACACTGGGCGGGAAAGGAGACGTTTTGCTGCGGGACATTTGGTACACACGGTGAAGCTCGTCATGGGGGTTGGCAGGCGGACGACGACGAGCATCATCACCTCCCCCACTGACTCCACGTCCCGCCAGCCCTCCTTTGCCTCCTTTACCCTTTCCTGTACCTTTGTGCACGTCTTTCCCTCCTCCTTTGCCTCCTTTGTAGTCACCTCCCACTCCACGATCCCAGACACCACGGAGGGGGGGTGCACGGAGTGGGCGAAGGCGAGGAAGTTCAGATCCGCAATGGTAACACCACTTGTAATGTTCGGGATTCCGCTTATTCCCACAAACCACACAAGCACACCCAACAGGATAGCCGCCGCCATTACTGGACATACGGCCCAAAATCTGCAGGGGTCACGAAACGGGCGCACCACACGCACACCTGTTGTGCAATG